TTTATTCTATGTACCCATGAAAAGAAAACAAATAAGTTTCTGCTTTCAAAATACAATCCATTTACATAAACAGGCCATTAGTAAACATAGCATGCAGCTATAGTGGAAAAAAAATCCTCCCAAAGCCTCCCATTAATATTTATCCTTTCAAAACTCATCAGAGCAAATCGTGGTAGCCAGTATGGCACTGAATATTCTTGGATGGACTTGAGGCTTCTGAAAGGCAGGGGAGCTCACCGTGTCGTCGCCCATGGCTTCCAGCAGCGCCTCGGCGGAGCTGCCGGGGCCGGCGGCGGCGGCACGCGCCAGCCTCCAGAGCCACTTCACAGCAGAGCTCACAGCCTGGTCCGACACAGCAGCGGGCTGCGGCTGCCACCTCACGAGATCCCGAGCGGCCCTGAAAGGGACATGAGCTATAAAGCAGAGGTAGTTGGAATAACGCTGGCACAAAAGATCTCTATCAATACTCTTTTGCTAGATTTTTAATAACAATAATAATAAAGCATGCCTACTAAACCTAGGCCTGCATTAAGAGAAGCAGAGGCAAAATAAAACCCTCATTTTTTAATATAATTTTTTTAAGACCACTGTTGATGGCTGAAGTACTTTATGGACTAAGAAGAATATGGCCTGTCTCCTATGTTGTTTCAGCAGGGTTTTTTTCTTTAAAATGTTGGGAGAAGGAACAGTCAAGGTTTTAAAACATCTGGATAAAAAAAAAATCATCTGGTTTCTACAGGCCTCTCTTCACAATTTGTCACATGGCCTTTATGTCAGATCATTTCATCTTATACATGCTTTTTGCAAGAGAGTTGATCTTTATCTGTCTACCAAAATAAGATCTCTGATACTAAGCTTTTTGATATTTTCATTGATCAAAAGCCTTTATCTTAATGACATTATAAAAGTGCAAAATATATGATGTGCTGAACATGCACTAAAAAAAAGCAAATTAAAAAATAACTGCTTCCAGCATCCATGACATTCCATCAAGTATTACTCTGAAGAGTTTCTTGGAAACCTAAAAGACCAGTATGACTTCAGAGATTCTTTAAGATAATATTGTGTACTACACTGGCCCTTGCCTTCCTGCTTCCATTGCAGCAATGATAAAGTTTACAAACACTTCCCAGGTTACAGTGCCTAGAATTTGATCTAGTTTTGTGAACCATCTTTAAATAAATTGTTACACGTGCTTCTCAAAAGCTGTGCTACCGTTTAAATCTCAGCTGCATCACAAGCCAGAGAATTAAGACAGGGCACCAGAATTAAACCTGTAGGATCTCAGTTGCTAAATTGGGATTCTAAATTCCTGTAAGCCATCTTTGATGACTTTCAAAATCATACAAGCTAATTTGCACATAATATAGCTTTCTATTTTTCTGTGGTAGAGTCATAAAAAGCACGTACCAATATTTGTTTTCTGTTAGTGTTTCTCTTTTCCTCAATGTGGTAAGAATGTTCTTCCTTTAAATGGAAGTACTAGGCTCAGCATTACTGTGGGCAAAACTTGGCAGAAAATCTATAGGTTTTACTGAGACACAAATGATAACAATTTCTGCTACAGAACGCATATTATCCAAACACACATCTATATGATATGAGACTTTTTTTTCTTTGAATTCTCTGCCCAACAAAGGGCAGACACAGATTTCTTTCTGCTTACCGAATGAGGTTAAATTTGGCAATTTGGGTCACCTGTTCCATGAGGACCATCGAAAGTGCATCACAGCAGAGATCAAATTCAGCAGGCGACGCCGTGCCAAAATCCAGCACAATTACAATACACTGCTCTTGAATGACGCCAAATATCTGCCGGCTTGCACTGGTGAGCCAGTCCATTCGCTGCTTGTAGAGCTCAATAGCTCTCATTAGACAATCCACAAAATGAAGAATCAGTTCTTTTTTGGCTGTCAGCTTAATTTACATACGGGAGAGAAAGACATTGAGCATCAAAACAAACAACCCAAATGGAGCCCCAAGCTTAGCACAGCTGCAATAGCTGGCTTCTAAGTGCCAAATGTGCCAGCCAAGGTAGCAGTGAAAACAACCCATTTTAATTCCACTATTTCAAGAGCAAATACTTGACAAATGCATCCAAGCTACAGCATAAAAGACACTATTCTGTCCTAATTGCTTTTCATAATCTTTTTAAACAAGCATGGGGCAGTGCCAACGGGTTGCATGACTTGTCTGTCTCAAGACTGGAGCAATTATAGTGAGCTAAACAGGGGCTAGGATGGAGAAAGGGTTGCAGAACAGATGGATGGACAAACTGAGGAACAGAGAAACGTATTAGGCTGGATTTTTTTTGTGGCTGTTAAAAGTGTGTGCAGTGACACAAAGGAGTGTACAGTTAGGTTCTGGGGGCACTTCAATCTTGGCTTTAGCTTTTGAAAGGAAATGTAAAATGCTTCCTATTTGAGCTTTTATTTCACTAACAATCCCCAACATTACAGCATTTCTAGTAGGCGCTTCTGCAAATTTAGTTTAGACAAAAGCAATCAACAACTAAAACTTCCCATGTCATATCAGCAAATTAAGCAATATTAGATTCAGTGCTAAAATGAAAAACATAGAAGGCTATGTACATAGGCATACATATTCACTGCAAAATGCGGGTTTACAAATTCACTGTGGGTTCTACTTGCAGTATCTTTGTATCTGCTACACAGACTTGCAGGGAATGTCTTTTTATTTACCAAAAATACTTCCCTCATATCTCTGATCCATGTAAGTTAATTTACCTGCTACTTTCTGCCTCCAACAGTTTCCTATGTGTGAGCACGAAACTTTGAATATAGAAAGGTTTTCAAATAAAAACATTTCTCGGTGAGAAAAAAAAATTGAGCACTATCCCAGAGTCAGTCTGCAAACTTCTTCCTCTCAAATGTATTTTTCCCTGCCCCTTAACGTCAGCTAGGGTCCTGCAAAACACGTCCCAAGAGCACAGGATCAGGCTGCCTGCCAAAGGAATGGATGCCTAGGAAGGAGGGCTCAGAAAGTCCCTTCTCCTATCACAGCCAGCCTCATACAAGCAGCTCATTGCATTACAGTGCTCAAACTCCATCTTAAAATAGAGCAGTTTTCTTGCCCCTCCTTCCTTGTAGATTGATCCAGATTCCCGTTTCCCAAAGGACTGGAACGCTTCCGACTGTCCAGGCTAAATTTATTCATGGCAGCTTATACCCAATTATATTTGGACTAGTATGCTTTTTAGCACAGAAGACTATAGCCCTTCTCTGTCCCTGCAATTTGCCTTTCTGTAGTCATTCAAGGGCAATAATACCCTTTTTTGGTTTTCTTTGGGCTTAACTAAATGCATCAGCATCCACTGAGCCCTCCCAACACCACTGTTGTTCACCCTAGAGCCTTCCCCAGCAGCTGCTCCACTTGCTCCTTCTTAACCTGTGATAACCAGGACTGTACAGAATGTTCTACAAGAGGGCTCACCAGTCTTGCAGAACGGCACCTTAGGGCTACAGTCAATTTTTTTTCTCCCTGCCCCCAACACTTCCTAAGATTGAGAAACATGGTGTAGCTCTTTCATACAGAATTAATGGCAAGAAAAGAGGGAATAAGGCTCCCTGAAATGGTTCTTTCCCCATTTTCACACCTTGTGTCTCAGAAGTGATACTAGTTGGAAGAAAAACGACAAGCTCTTGTTTTCTGTAAAATCCGTTCTGAATTAACTCTCTTCTCTACTAGCTCACGTACGTCTCTCTTCAGTCAGAAGCCACCCTCCTAATAACGGGACAGGCAGCAGCTGCTACAGAGACATTCCTCAGAACATGAGTCTGGGCAGGGATCCAACTAGCTGTCTCTGCAGACGATGCTGAGCCTTTTGTAACCCACTGGCACTTAGCAATGGGGAGCTCTGCATTGGGAATGATGCCATATTATGTCTCCTCATTTCAGCATCTACATTTGTTTTATTGACTATAATTTTCTCAACTCAGCTGAGCATCTTCTTTTTAAGTGTTCTCTCTTTCAAGAAAGGGTAAATGTTGCTTAGAAACTGCAGCCTTCTCTGGAAAGCCTTACTGCAATGCTGCACCACAGCAACAGTGTAAGACTGCGCCAGAAAAAAAAAAAGGAGAAAGAAAAAATGATATCTAGCTCATATACCACTATCCTTATCACTAACAGACTGGTAAAACAGAAAAAAAATGCCAAAAGATAAAGTTCTTTCACAAAAGATACAAATATTTCCTGTCATGGAGACATTATAGGCATATTATCCTGCTGCAGTAAGCCCTAAGTGCATAGGAAAGTTACAAGCTCATGGCACTTACATTATACACGCTGCCATCTTGTGCTCTCATGTACTGAGGAAACAGGCCAGCCGCATACCGAGAAGCCACCGGTTTCCCCAAGGTGCTCACATAATCTGCGGGAAAGTTTGCAAGAGATCAAGCTGCTGATCATAAGGATTCCTTTCACAATGTACTTTTCTAAAGCACACGCAACACAAAAGGGAATAAATCTTCATCTAGTTGTCAAGTACTTTGTTTTCAATAAATCAAAATATCTGTTCACAGAACTCCAAAAGTAAAACACAGTAAACCCTTTTCAGGGGAATGGAGGAGGATTCTTTGGATATACTAGACTTTGAATGAGTAGTAGCTTTTCCCTTAATAAGGAGCATTGCAAGATAGATGTGTCCTTCAGATACTTTCCAGTTTGTCATGAACACCATCCATATGTGAGGCAGATGTATCTGTGCTGTACTGCTGATGTTATGAAGCTAGAAAGAAATTTTGATTATGCTTTTGTTTTCCCTGTTTTGTTTATATATGAGGGCCCTCAGGGCACCAACAGGCCTTGATGGCCCTGCCCAGCCTCCACTCATAGGGTGGCCTGGGCACCCAGTCTCTGCTTGGGCTGCGTTTTAGGTACGTGTGCCCCAAGTCCTCCCTCTGGCCACTGTCCTGGACAGGCCTGTCTCTAGTCTCCTGGATGGGTCTCTTGGACCTACACTGTCCTCAGTCTTGTCTCTATCTCCTGCTACTCCTGACTGCACTCCCAGAGTGGACCCTGGCTGGACCTGATTCATCTCTTCACCTCATCTGGGACTGTCAACTGCCCCTGCTACCAGCTCCCTACTGTGCCCGCCATGCTCAGATACTGCAGGGGCTGGACACTGGTCACTGGGAACAGTGCTAGTGCTGTGGTCCCCTTGGGCACCCTGCTCTCACTGCTCCCTGAAAGCCTCATCTGAAGTAGGGGAAAAGGTACGTTTAGTTGTTTATAAGCAAAAGACAAATGAAAGGTTTAGGCAATAAAACTTCCGTATTATGCATTTACCTCTCCACAGGACGTGCAAATATTTGTCCATCAAACAAAATACAAAATCTGGAACAGATAATGCTGTTTTCTTACACAACAAAATGGGTGCTGAAGTGGGTGCAACTAAGGAAAAGGTTGCACTGTGCTCTTTTGGTAGCTGGAAAACTCCTGCAGTAGCTCTGCTGATAGGAAAATGTTAGGGGTGGGAATATTTAACGTCATAAAACTGCATATTCTATTCAGCACGATGCCCTGTTAAGCCGGTACTTTTTGTTCTTAAATCTACTCTGTAATAACATGAACCAGCTTCTTCTTCCTCTACTGCACAGAGGATTTCAGGATCTGTACTGTTGGTCTTTGAACGCACCATGGCCACAAGCCAGCCTTATACAAGCTGGAACAATCGCAATTTATTACAACTTTTACTTACCAGGCTGTAAACTCTCCAAAGAAGAGACTATTTTACCATAATCTGCAAAGCACTATTATAGAAGTGATTAATAATTATTAGCAAAATCTTCCTCTCCGGCTGTCAGATAGAGAACTTCAAAGAACATTTTTGTACAGCCTGACTTTGCAAGAACATTAGCCTAAATACAAATCAAATTGAATTGCTAGCTTAAAAACCTGATACCTGGTAATGACATAGACAGTAAACCCACAGATCACAGATTACAGCACAGTGTTCCCCACTTACTGCCTCCTAAAAAACAGGCAGGATCTCATGATGTGTTTTTTCAGGCAAAAGATTAACAGCCTCATAATCACAGGTTATTTTCCAGCTTTAGCTAAATAGTAGAGTATCTAAATGAGGTGTACGGTAAAGAAGCAGTATAGTTCAATACTGAAAGCATCTTTCTGAGATCAATAGGAAATGGAGTTCTTCAGTCCTTTCAATGTGCCTCAGTTCTGGCAATGTCAGGAAGTGGGAGCATGGCTTCCTTTTCTGTCATTATTGTACAACAACAGATGATCTGAAAATCTCAGAGTAAACTGCTGTGTAAAATGAGCACCACACTACAGCCTATTTATTTATTATTATTATTATTACTATTGTTATTGAGTTGTTGGCTTGTCTTATACCTTCCCTGTGCTGGAATCCAATTTGTGGCAAAATCTGGGAGAGGGATAATTTATTTCTCTTGAGCCCATGAAGTTGAAGCCACTTAGAAGATGAAATGAGGGGCTGTACATCCAAGCCCCACTGACAGACTGCCAGCCTCCCTTCCTTTCCTTTTGATTTCTTCTCGTGGTCCTCATGGGAATTTGAGCTCTCATGATCTTGTCTGTGCTTTGAATCAAAGGCATCTGTTTTAAAAAGAAAGGAGGGAAAAATACTATTTACACTTTTACAAAAGATTCATTTGAATTCTCTCCTTTCTCTATGTCTCTTCCATGGCACTCTGTATACATACACCTTACTTCCCATTTTCTTTTATTATGCTGAATAATGTCCTCAATCTGGAAAGTTGCTATCAGTCATACACATCTACTTGCTATTATGCCTTGTATTATGTCCATATATGTGCACCTTCAATTTCTTCCCAAAAAATATCTCACTATTGCTATGCCTAAGCTGATTATCTGTGGACATGGTTGATGTTTCTGCACATTTTCCCCAGTATCAACATTATCAGGAGTGTCCAGTCTCCCACTGCCCCAAAGAGTGCAAGCTGTTGGAGCTGCAAAAGTACTGCATGGATCCAACTGGTCCAAAATTCAGAGAGGGGCACTTCTAACTTTAATGACTACAAAATAACTTTCAGTCTAAGGAATATGATCAGATCTCTGCCAAGATAAAATATTACGATGAGTGACCTGGTTACAAAAGTTCATGAGATAAAATGTTCCTCAGTTAATAATGCATAAAGGAAATGAGACTGTGCCTTCAAAAATCATCTTTCAGTGTGACAGTAGCCTTCTGCGTGGGGCAGACTGGCGCCAGCTCTTTCATAGCCATCAGTCCCACAAGCAGAGTGCTATTGTGGCAGGCCTGCAGAGGAAGGCATGCTAGCAGCCCTCCTCGTCCTCCTCATACAAAAGCAGCAGTGGCAAATGTTAACCCTGAAGAGACACAGACGAAGGTAGGTAGCTACTCAGGCACTACACATAGTCAGCTAGCGCTTATAATCACTTGAACAGTCATTTCCAGTTTCCTCCTCAGGAAAGCAGAAAAGCCATCAGAGCACCGCACATACAGCAAAGGTGAGACTAGCACTGCTTCAGAATGGCTTGTACTGAGCTAGTAGTCCACAGTTCATCAAACCAAAATGTAAATGATTCAGAAAACATGGAATCTGTGCTAAGACAGTCCTGAAATACTCACAGTCGCTCCAGGCAAGCCTCTTACATGGATTGCCAGTCATGCTGTATGTCTTGATTTGAAACTCCTCCTTGTTTTCTTCTTAAAAACCTGCATGAGAATAATAATTTTATGCACAGGACAGTATGAAGAGGAGACTAACAGCACAGGCCTTGGCAGTAAGAAGGTTAAAGCCAAGATATGCTCATGGCTACTAGTGTTACAGATTAAAAAGGATAGCTACCTTCCATGTCAATAAAGCGTAAAGTCAGATGCAACCAAGATCCTCTTCATATTCTGAAACAAGAATGCAAGAAACTACCAGCATAGTTTCCCTTCATCCCCTCTAAATTATTGTAAAATATATCCCATGTGGTAGTTCCCACAAAGATGGGAATGGTACTTTGGCTTATTGTCAGGCTGCTGTAATACATTCTCTTATTGCTTTGCATTATACCTTACCTTTGCTATAATCCAATTTATGACTAAACCTGGGAGTATCTGAGATTTTGTGAACAGATTCATAACTCTGTAAGCCTACAAAATGATTCACAAAGGAAAATTATTATGCATGTGTATATGTATATGCATGTGGTAAAAGGTGCAACTGCAAGTAAGACCCAATCTAACAACAGAAAACAAAATGCCAGGGGAAGCAAGGTTGCATATACAGGCCAACTGTCTTGCCATTTCCTCATTTCTTCTTTCAATAAATAAGATGAATGAGCAAGGGGTGTTTATGAATCACTAATAGGCCAGCTGCTAGCTATTGTCATCAAACAGCTTCCTATGGGAAAAGCAAAAAAAAAGGGATAAAATAATAACAGGACTGCACCCAAAGAATTAACATCCTCCTCCTTTCTTCTTTGCAGAGCTAAATGTGCTATTTATTCCTCCTAACATGAGTTTAAATGCCCATACAGAAATATATGATCCATTCTGGTCTTTGTCCTGCTCATGCGTAAAGACATTAACAGCATGAAAGGCAGGGAGAATATTTAAAAATGCAGGGGTGGGTCTGCATGTTACAGCACAAGCAACCCGCAAAAGCCGTTTTCTAGCAGACCCCACCTCCTTAGCAGAGATTTTGTGTTAATGCACCAACAGAAGAGAACATTGACAGTCGGGGTACAAGATGCCCGTAGTGAGCGGCAAGATGTGTCATTTCCAACTGAGGAGGCAGAAATTATGTTGCAGAATTGCACAAGGCTCTTGTGGTTTATAGCCGATCCGCATTTCACACGCCAGCCTGCACCACAGTGCTAATCCTAGAGGCAACCTTGCTCCCCAGGCGCCCAGAGTATTGCGGTGATAGATCTGCTTTTGCTTTACACACACGGTACCACTCCCAGCCACTGGAATGGCACCTCCGTGGAAAACTGGCACTGTGTGAAAAGGAGCATTTGAAAAGGAGGTGCAGTGACTTCAACGGAAATAGAGAATTTAACCTCAAGTCCTGGAAAGGCAAGCAAGATCAAAAGAGATGACAACCAGTATAACCTCAAACTCTGTATGAAAACCGAGTTTTCTCAAAAGGTGAATGGGAGTTCAGCCGAGCACCTCTTCCCTCCACCCACCACAAACGCCATGGGAAACCGTGTGTTCCCATCATGTGTTGCCAGTTTTCAACAGATGTGCCGAACCCACCAAGGGC